CGGCTCTTCGCAGTACATGACCTGGAACGATTCGCGGTGCTCGTCAATCGCCATGGCGTGGACGATGCGGCCGACCTTGGTCGGGTTCTGCCCATACCGGTGTCGGTCGCTCCGCGGGTCGGCGGCCACAACGTCAAAGATGCCGACAAAGTGGATCGCAATTGGCGTGCAGTGGTTGACCATAATTGCCTCCGTCTTGGTCAGCACTCCGCGCTTCGTTTCGGGCAGCGCGAGGAGCTGGTCCAGCGATCGGGCACTCGTGTTCTTGTGCACAAGCTCGTACTGGTCCCAAAGAATGTCGACCGTGGCCGCACTCTCGGGCGCCGCAAGACCGCACGTATCGATGAATCCAACGAGGGCGCGCACCTCAAACGCGCCGCGGCTAAACCTATTCAACGCATTCGACGTTGTCGCGTTTCAGAATGGTCGTACCCAAAAAGGTACACCTTGTCGCCGGGGACGTAGACCTTGGCGAGGTACTTGTACACGTTGTAGATGATGTCCTTCATGCCCACGGCCAGGAGGCCGCCCGTCAAGTACGACCCCCATGACGTGCCCACGCCGGGAAAGTACTGCTTGATTTGATCGGCAGACGTCGCCGTCGCGTCATAGAGGCGGTGGACGTTGGTGTCTGACTCGGGCGTGTTCCACGTGCCGTCCATGAAGAGGGCGATGCGCTTCGGAGTCGTTGCCGCCATGAGAGCTGGAGATGGCAAAATCAAAAATGAACGTGTGAGGAGGTGGCAACGGTAGTAAAAACAACGGACGGGTCGTGGATATTCGAGTAATCTGGACGCTCGGAGATTGACGGGGGCTTCTAAATTTTACTCGCTTTGCGCCTTTATTGGACACTGCTTAAAACGAGGCGTTGAGCCACGTGCTTTCTCCGGCGTGGTAGCTCGGTTCCTCTTTTCAATGACCGACCATTTGATCAACGATATCCAAAACATCTCGGTTCGCATGCTACGACGTTTGGAGAGGATCACCGACTTGATCGATCAGTGATGTAGCTCTCAAGGACGTGTAATCCATAGAGCCCATGCGGCTGTGATCCTAAGCTTGCATGATGCACGCATGCGCCGTTTTACCCACCACATGCCGAAGATTGCATGCGAGAAGCGGCTGAGAACGCTGGAATCAAATGCAACGGCCACGTTTTCGAAGCCACTATGGCTCGCCACGTCATAAGCTTATTCCCACTATATATACAGTAGTCAAGCTATGTGAAACGGCGCACTCACTTGGAAAGCGTACTTATACGAACGTCAGATTGCACCGCTTCGAGATGGAACGGACGAGCAGCGGCAAGGGGGTGGGCTGCACGAGCCTGTGGCCCAGGACAGCGACGACGTCAAGATCCACAGCCTCGTGGGCCAGGCGCTTGCGAGCGTCCAGCACAAGATCAACATCCATTCGATTCGCAGCCTCTTCAGGTACAGCTGCCTGCCCACCGTTTTCCCCTCACATGGCACGTGTACTAGCTTTATGGGCATTGGCGAGGAGCACCCGTTCTCGGTGCTGCTGCAGGCGCAGCTCGTCGTGCGGCTTCGTCGCAACTTGGAGTACTTCCTCGTCAACTACATCCTCGTGTTTGGCCTCGTCTTCTTCTGCGTGCTGTACGCACCACCACGCACAGGATAGCAACCTGTCTCATGGCCCGTCGTAGGATCTTCCACCCGTTCGCCATGCTGTGCGGCGTGGCGACGCTCGGCGCCTGGGTCACGGTGCTCGTCCAGCGCAAGCAGATCCAGCTGCTGCTCGGGCCCAGCGTCAAGATGATCTACGTGGTCTACGGCCTCGCTGCCGGTCGCCTCGATTTCATGTTCGTCGTCCAACTGACTAACCATGCCTTAGGCACGGCGCTCGTGCTCATCTTTTCGCTGCTGTCGCCGCTACTGCTTGCGACTACAACGCCATTGTCTTGCGCTCCACCATCTCTCATGCGAGCATGTCTAGCGGCGTACACGCCTTGTTGCGCAACACCCCGGCCTCCGACAAGGTCGATGTCGTCCTCGACGACCACCCGTAGTGCTGTAATCGCACGCGACCACAACAGCACTACTTCAAAACGAATGCATTTTACTCCAAAATCCCATCGACTATGCATTGGACGACGCTGGCGCGCCTTTGACCATGCGCACGGTGCGGCCGCGGGCATCGTAGCCCATGCGGCACGTGTGCAGCAGCACGTTCTCGACGAGTGGGATCTTGAACGGGAGGTACGGCAGCGACAAGAGCCCATACAACGTCCGGATCCAAAACATCATGCTCTGGCGCTGCCACGTCATGGCAAGCACGCTCTGCGCCGCGAGCGCGAGGCCCATTGTAAAGCAAAACGCAATCGTCTCGTAGCCGCAGAGCTTCATGAGGTACCCGCCGCGGTCCATGTGCAAGACGTTGCCAAACATGTCTGTGTACGTCGTCTTGGGCGCCGCCGCGTGCTTGGGCGAGAGCACCGTCGCCGACGATGGCCGCTCCGTGTACGGGAGGTAGAAGAACGCGACCCAGACCAGCGCCGTTTGCCAGAGAAAGAAAAGCGTGTTCCACGGCGACAGCATCGGTCCGTCTACTCAACTCACACAGATAAGACCAAGCTATCCGGTCTGGAAGAAGCGAGTACAGAGGTCGCAGAGACCCATGGTGCCGTAGAGCGCACAGGAAATGTACTTGGCGACGCCGAGGGCGGTCGAGCCCAGCCCCAGCGTAAGGAACTGACTGGTCTTGAAACCAATGATAAACTGGCACAGCTGGTGCTCATCCCGCTTGTCCTTGAGGACGAAGAGGAGGCACCACCACGCTTGGCCAATGTACGGGAGCATGCCGAGGATAGTAAAGCTCCACCAGTACGGGTTCTTGAGGCAGCGCCAGATCGACTGGTCGTACGGGAAGAGGTTGTACAAGATGCACGCGCGGGCGTTTGCCCACGACGTCGCCGCGCGCTGCGTGAGCGACTAGCACACGGTAGAGACAAAAAAGGGTAGAGAGGCAAACCGGTACAGCCGACGTCACCTCGCCCCCCGACTCGGACGGGAGGCGCTGGAGAGGCGTCGTCGCCGTCGTTGCAACAAAGAGGTCCTTCGTCTTGCGGAAGAGCTCGACCTTGACGTCCGGTAGAAACTGGTCCACGGCCACATCAATGTTGGTCTATCGCTGCATGAGAAGAGAGGACAGGATAGCGTCGTTCGTGTACCTGGAGGTACAGAGGCATGTCCTTGTCCTTGATCGAGTCCTTGAGGCGCTCGGCAAAGAGGTCGAGTGCGCGCTCGAGGTACCGGCGCACGGCGCGGTGCATCGCGTTCTGCATCCCGCCCTTCGTATCGACCGCCATCTCGAAGAGCTTGTTGCCCATGAGGCTTAGCGTCGACCGGCGGCGCATCGGCGGCAGCACATTGCTACTAGCGCTGTGCGAGAGCGACGCGGCGATCGAGATGGCCTTGAGCACGGTTGCAAGCGGAAACTCGAGCGGGAAGCGCTGCGCGTATCCTTGGGCCTCTTGCGTCAGCTCTTGCAGCGCGTACGCGTCACCTCCGAGAGTCGCCGCTAGGTCGTCCCAGAACAAGTTGACGCGCGCGCGTTCGATGGGCGAGAGCATGCAAGGCTCGTCGCCATGGGCGAGGGTCTCCAGCGCCTCCTCGACGGCGTCGACCGAGATGGACTGGCTCGACAGTCGGAGCGACGGCCGCGCGGGAGCTACCGGAAGAAGCGGCCTCGAAGCATCGTCTGCGCCATGGACGCCATCGTCGTCCTGTGTCTCCATGACGAGGTTGAACATGGCCACGCTGGCCGAGAAGGCGGCGGCGCCGCACGCGACTTGGATCACCCAGCGCTGCCGAAGCATTCCGGCTGTAGAAAGGTGCAATGTCAAAAGATGGTGCTGATGTTAATTTCCATGTCAATACATGGTCATTCTCTAAGCCACAGTGCCAAAATAAGGTATTGTGCGGAACGCGCCAACTTCAAGTTGGTCGATCGTGTGTCATAGGACTGACGCCTGGCGATCTGCTTCTCCAACTCTGACTACTACCAAAGGCATAGAATATCCCTTGCTGCTACATACTACAATACTGGGTCCGTAGACCAAGACAGAAGTCGAATCATACAATTGTAGTCTTCAGGCAGGCCCTTGGGGCAAACTGCAATATCAAAGACCACGGACCAAGTGTAGGTACTGCGGCCTCAGTCCTGGCTCTGGCGCAGAGCCAGACTTCTGTGATAAATCCCACTCTATCCAGGGCCTTTGCCAACTTACTACGTAGTCGTACAGTGGAAGATGGATCTCAAAATGATCTGTAAGAGCGCTCGCAAAGCGTCTGCGGGCGAAGAAGCTTCTTGGTTCTTAGCGCTGTCGACAACATCTTGGGCTGTCGACGACCCACGACTGACGTACTATCCACTCGGACATCGTGGTCAAAATTTCACAGGATAGTTCGTCTATAAACCATGGACGTTGTTGTAGCTGCAGACGTCGGACGATCTCCGCCACCGCGCCGCGTCATGGGCAATGCTATGGAAAGTCGCATAGAATCTCGTCCTTGCTCGCTGAGGCCTCGTCAAATGTGCGGTCCGCAGCGCTGTCCATGGGCGCGTCTGGCTTCCGCGAAGATTCACACAACACAACGTCGGCTCGTCACTGCGACGTCCCGCACCAGCTGTGATCTCAAATTAAAAATTAAAAAACAAATGTCGCGCAACTGCGCGACACAACGCGAGCTTGTTCCGACAGCTCATGATGGCCCATACAAACTACAAGATCGACCACCGACTCGTTGGCCAGATAGAGAAAAAGCAGCATGAGCGTCATCTCGGATTCTACAAGCATGCGCATAATCGAGTCTACAAGGTTTTCTCACTTCCACTTTTGCTCGACGGAACGCACATCTGCCGCCCTACTACTCTCAACATGCCCGCATCGAACCCCTGGACCCTCAGCACGCTTCCCATCATTGGCACGGCCAAGAACGACAAGTCCACATGCCAATCGTGCAAGCAGTGCATTCCCCAAGGCGCCGTGCGCGTCGGCCTCATCTTTCACCACTTGAACGGCTACATCGCCCTCGATTGGCACCACTTGACGTGTTGCGAGACGCCCGCGCAGCTTCCACACATTGAGGGCTACGAGCTCCTGAGCGCCCAGGCCCAAGAGCAGGTCCAGCACTACATAGACCAAGTCACCGTGTCGTGAACGCGACGCGATGTGGACCATCATGCCGACTGCTACAGCACTTTACTGCCTGAACACCGAGGCAGGCGCCAACTACGAGCGCCAGCACCTCAAGCGACACAGAGCTCGAACCAAAAATGCTTCGAGGCTAAAAGTGTCCTCAAGTACCGCCGTAGTTGGTTGCGTTCTCAACGCCGAACTCAGTCAATGAATATACTTGGAATACATTTGAAAGACTATTAACAGTAACAAAATGTGGCGCTGGAGGGTTAAGCGCACTAAAGCAGCTTGTACGCAACGGTAGAGAATCCAAGCAAGGAGAGCAGGTCTCATTCGTGCGAAAGCGAGCATGAACAATGAAAAAACATGCACCGACGTTGATTTACATGACCTTGACGTTATATGCTCTCGGTATCAACCCAATTCCCGAAAATTTGATTCGCGTGGTCGATGTGTCAATTGACCCAGGCGACACGAGCCGCCAGCGCAGCTACAGCGACGTGGCGGCATGCAGTGCGTTGTGAAAGACCGTTCGGAGGAGATTGCACTTTCAAAGGAGCTGTCGATACACCGACGACCAAGTCGATTCCGAGTTTGCAGGTGGCGTCCCGTATCGCGACAGCGGTTGGCCATTTTATGACTTACAATAAAATAAATTGCGTATTAAAATATCCCACGCATCTCCAGTCGCGTGGAGCTTAGGACTAAGATCTAAGACAGCGTAAGACTGACACCTTGGTGTATCCACCGTAGTAGCGTCACCAAGTAAGTGGCTTCCACGCACATACAAATGGCGAGTGCCTTTGGGACGCACGTCCAGCTCTCCATGACATGTCCCGACGTGATACAATTGCCAAGTGTAGCAAAAAGGCGTCCGCAGCTCCTTGATGGCAATTGGTCGCTTTCGTGTGCGGCGCACCCAGTTGGCGAGACTAAGGAGCCGGTCGTCGAATGCGCTTCCAGGCGCCAGCTCCTACGCCTTCTATGACGCAGCAGTAACGCGTATTGGGCCGTGCAGCATCGGCACTTTGCAATTTCAATCGATCCGCCATGACCCAGAATCCATGGACGCTCAACACCCTCCCGGTCATTGGCACGGCGACGACCGACGGCTGCCTCTGCCAAGCCTGCAAGGAGAACATCATGCAAGGCGACATCCGCGTCGGCCTCATCTTCCACCACCTCAACGGCTACATTGCGCTCGACTGGCACCACTTGACGTGCTGCGAGAACCCGTGGCATCTCCCGACGCTCGAGGGCTTTGAACTCCTCAGCGACAATGAGAAAACCGAAGTGCATGCGTTCATCAAGCAGAGCAAGGTCGGGGCATAAACAGCGCGCCATGCTCTCGTGTCTGTATGGTGTCGTCGCTGCTGCCTGTCTGAGCGCGTTGCTCCTTGTCGCGTCCAAAACTTGTTATTTAAACTATGAAACATACTGCATACATGCAAGTGTAGTCTTGAGTCATAGCGTCTCGTGCGGTTGTTGGCCGTGCTTCTCTTCACAATGAGCAACGAGCGCCCCTTTCCGCTACTCGCCCCTCTCCGCTCCTCGCCCCAGAAGCAGCTGTAGCAATAGGTCCGCTCGAGAGTCAAGGCGTCCTGACGGCCAAAAGAAGTGCATCGCAAACGATGCAAAAGGTATCAATTTAATAGGCTTCAGTCGAGACAAGAAGTTGAGGCAAAGACCTTTGATCAGAGTCTATGACTGAAGAAGTCAATCAAGACTCGAGGTGAATCTCTAGAGTCTGGGTGGGATGCGCTCCCACTAGAGACATTGAAGACGGTAGCAAGGGTCAGTCCGGGCTTGAAGCATCCCATGACGAGCAACTGCGCTTGTCAAACCGTTGCACAACCGGCGCAATCGGTCCGCCCTTCGCAGTGTAATGAAGCTGAAGTTGATTCGTACCGCTAGTCAGCGCAGTTTTATCAGAGTTTGTTGTTGTTGAACCGAGTTACATGTATTCAATGCAGTTATAAAGATATGGTGGACTTCCTACTGCGCTCGTGAGGCGTGGCCGGTGCGTCAAGCGAGGAGCGTCTGTGGTCGTGATGCGGGACTGTGCGAGGGACCAGGTAGCGTCAAGGGTACATAAATTGAATTTATGTACCCATGGTAGCGTGCACACCAAGGGTCGTCTTGGAGAGCTACCAGCGACGCATCAAGAGATGGCACCACAGCGCGACGAGCCAAGTGCCGGACATGCAGTTGTGCGATAGTAGCTGCCTGGATCGCGAGCGCAGCAGTGGGGAGTTGCGTAAGCGTCGAGCGGAAGACACGGTTGTTGCGTCCGACCCAAAGACATTACATGTACCAGACGCGAGCGCGTAAGATCGGCCAGAGGGCATGAATGGACGACCTGTGGGCCGATTGCGGCGCGGCGACAGCGTCGCAGAGAAAGCCAGCGACTGACAACGGGAGCCTTATCAGAGTTTGTGGGTTCGGGTAATTTTCGAGCGTCCGGCGGATGCATTTCAAGCATCGAAGTAATTTTGAGTGTACCAGGCGGCGGTGTGGCGGCTTCTTCAAGACATACTCTCAAGAAACACCCTATCTGCTTCCACGCAGTCGTGAATATCACGCAGCTAGATATCGCCTGTGGCCACAAGCTATTTGGCGTGTGATAAAATAGTCGACTTTCCATCCGTCAACGTCGTTTCGTCGAATTCCCGCATCTCCCTGTCTTCTCTCGGCAACGCAGCAGTCGTCTACGGCAGGCAACCGTAGAGACTACTGAATGCTGACTAGGTCGCGAAGAAAATGGTCACACGAGGTATGTGTTCCCGACAAGGCAGAACTCGTTCCTTTCGATAAATGAGCCAGCCCACGGGTGCTACGCATGAGGTTTGCCCTTGTGGGCGACCAAGTGCTATCTATATATCTATCATAAGCCCGACGACAAAAGGTCTGTCTAGTCTGATAGGCCTGGATGAACGGGATCGCTATCTAGGGACCGAACTTGGTGCGCACAAGTCAACCCACGGACGATCTGAAGTGCAGAATTGCTCGTGATAACGTGTGCTAATGGCTCGACTCGGGGCTCAGCGCATGGGGTCAAACGTTCAACGTGGAGCTATTTACTTCGTCGAAAACAGCAATCTCCTTCATCGCTCCGCCATAGCTGGTCTCGATGCCTGCACAGCACTAGTAACTCTAATGATCGTCCAGAACTCGTGCAGCAAACTCCTCCTGGATGTGCTCATTGCTTGGCTACCGGCACCCTGATTGACAATGCTGAGTAGTGAGATGTCCACGTTGTCGCTCTGCTGCTGAAACCACTTCATTCAAATCCGACGCCTTGACGGTGACACGGCGCTTCCTTTGGCGTTCTTGGGTTTAAAATGGTCACAAATAGCTGCATGAGCTATCCAAAGCGGATATGGCCACGGGTTCAAGCAGGAGGCTCTTCATGTACTAGGTCACTGTGATTACGTCGTATAGGCGCGGCTGCTGCGCACGGTTTTCGCGGTTCGCGGGAACTTCAACTTGAAACCGTCGTCCATGCTGGCCGCGTCTTCTCGCTTCACCCTCTCTCTACAGTCAAAAGATTCGGTCGCATACGCTGAGATTCCATCCTTGGCCTTCTCGCAGTTCCATGAACCAGTTTAGAGCGTTGCATCGACGCCGTCGGGTCGCTTCCGACGGTTTGACACGCACGCGACTTCTCTCTGCTTCGATGGCGTCCTGAGCGAAGGTCGAAGTCCAACTTCAAGTCGCTCCTGCGTGGTCTCTACCCTCTCATAAAATACTAGTAAATGGTGTCCCTGCCACCTCTGAATTTGGATTGTGTCGTCACGACAACAGCAAACTCACGTGTCGGTGATGGTCGTCTCGGTTCTCCTGGCCATACGAAAAGGATCTTGGCGTACTTCAATCGCCAAGAAATTTCAGAGCACCGCCTTTTTAGCCAATCCAAGGCGCGTATGCCCATGACACTCGACTTTTGTCCAATCAGGTGGAGGCAGCATCGGCAAGCGTTTCACACCCGAGCGTCGCTTTTTCTACTTTTTTCTATTTCCCATACAAACATCAAGTGCACATTGTCCTTTGCATTAAAATACTACGTGTTCGCTGCGTTCCCGCATTCTCAAATTCCCATCCTTCCGCACAACATGGCATCATCTTCCTCGTCAACCTCGGCGTCGCGATGGAGCTTCCTGCCGTCGACGTACGCCCTCCATGCATGGCTGCCTACCACGACCATTGCCCAAGCGACGCCGACGCCATTCACCAAGGACGCCGACGTCGACGGCTGGGTCTTCCTCGGCAAGGAAACCGACATCAAGAGCTTCACATACGCCGACGTCGCCGCCGGCAAGCGCGAGGAGGTCGTCGACGAGACCAACAAGGACTACGTCTGGCTGCCGACGCTGCCCGACACGACGCGATAAGCGCCGCTCGCTATATAACCCAATTAACTTAACACACCCAGAAAGAGTAAAGACGACTTTATATAAGAAACACACGCGATGGCACGAATCACACCTCGGTGAGGTACGCGGGTGGAAGGTACCGGAGCAGCTTCTCGGGCACAAGGTCCTTGACGTCGGCCGGCGCCGCTTTGTGGAGATCCATGCGCTTGAGGATCTCGCTGTCGTCGTTGATCTCGAACGGCCCGCTAAAGTTGAAGAAGACGTCTTGGCGGTCCTCCGACATCTCGCACTGGATGACCGTGTCCTTGCTCGTGTTGACGAGGATGAACGGCAGCGCAATGCGGCTCTCTGCCGTCGTCGCGTCCGCTTCGTTGCGCCGCACGAGGTTCTTGAGCGCGATTTGCTACGTCGACGAGAATCGTCCTGTTGCATGAAGAGGGCGGGACGTACCTGCAAGAGCAGCTCCTGGAGCTGCTGCTCTTTTGCTCGATGCTCTTGAGCCGCTGCGCTTTCTCCATCTAATGATCCAATTAGTGCAAGCATCAGGCGGGTCGTACGGTAAGGAGCTCGAGGTCTTGCTTGGCGTTCGAGGGCAAGCCGCGCCAGCGAATCTCCTTCTTCTCCTTGGAGATGATGTCCATGGCCATGAGCACGTTGAGTGCGTCGTAGACGCGGCGGCGGATGTTTTTCTCGTCGTACACCTAGGCGTTGCGTGCGTGGGATGGAAATGGAAGCGGAGATGAAGCGTCTACCGAGTCGGACGGTCGCATCGTCACAAACTCGTGCACGAGTTCGTCTGCCACTTCGTTGTACGACGTCACGTGCTTCTCTTCGACCTTTTGGCACACCTTCATGCTAAAGTGACGCAGGCCCTTGCTGCCCTTCTCCGAGACCGCGCTCGTAGCACTGGCGCGCGGTGTCTTCTTCTTCTTGGGCGTGCTACGCCAGGCCATGATAGGCGATATGATGGACAGCAAGTATCGAGAGATGTACGGCGTTGGGAATGGCAGCGACGGCATCGACGCATCGGCCTTCTTGAGCGGCAGAAACGACTGGTTCATCGAATCTACGCGCCGTCACGTCACGTCCATGCACCATGCTGCAACGCGTACCCCACTCGCGCTTGAGGTCGCGGAACTGGCCGTCCTTGAGGAGACCGGCGTCGGTGGCCATTTTCTCGAGGCCTTGCACCTTCATCAAGTTGATAAAGTCGTCGTGCAGGCTGCGCGGCGTCGCCGAGGGCTCGACGCTGGCCGCCGCCGCGACACAAGTGCTTGCCGGCACCGCGTCCGCCTTGGTCTCTTCGTCATCGTCGTCCTCATCGTCGTCCTCATTCTCCTCGTCGTTGTCGTCGTTCTGCACGGGCTGCGGTAGGCTGCGCTTGGGCGCCGCTCGAGCCGGTTTGGCCTGCGCCACCGGCGTCACCGCCCGAGCAGGCTTGGTCTGAGCCACCGGTGTCACCGCCTGCGGCGCGAGCTTCGCCGACGCGGTTGCCTTGCGCGTCTTCTCAAGCGCCGGCGCCGAGACGAACTTCTCGGCCACGTCGACCGTCTTCTTTGCGCGTCCTGGGGCCATGGATGGTCGGTCGCTCGCGGCAATCTTACTGAGCTCACGCGAGCGTATTGCAGGTCTCCGGATACGCATGTCGTATCCGTATACACGGGATGTACGACGTATGAGACCGTTGCCGTACCGACTACAGTGGCCAAGTCACACAGTGGCCGCCACTAAATTCGGCATGGATGCCACTTCTAAGGTGCGATCGACGTCGCCAGGCTACTAGAACGCACCTTCGATATCACTCGAGCGAGTAGCACTGGCATGCCGTATGCAGCACAGCAACTGCCACCGTAGCACGCACGTCAACAAGAGCTTTCTCCACTGCTATGCCACACACCACGTCTTCAAGGTGGCATTATATGCCGAGTTTAGCCACGACCAATGTACGTGTACGGCTTCCCGTACATAAAAGTACGAGCTGGCAATGTACCTCGAGCCCCAGCTCTGCCACGATGCTCACGCCGACCCACTGTCCTTGCCATCATCCGCAGCGTCGTCCTTGCCCTCGCCCGCGTCTTTGGCGTCAGCTTGAGCTACCGATTTCTTGGGCGACGGCGGGCTAAACGACTGAAGTGACGGAAGGATGTCGAAGCGGAAGCCCGACACGTCCAAGGGCATGTGGCCATCGTGGTTTTCTCGTCGCTACGCCATCCATGACTCTATTGCGAAGGCGCTCGATCTGCGTACCGCAAGGGCTTCCATGCGCGACTCCAGAAAGCGAGCCATGGGCGCCTATGCGCATGCCATAAAGCCATCGCAGGCGGTGCCATGGTACTTTGGTAAACGCGTAGGCGTAGTGCAGCGCCGAGTTGCCAGCCATGTCTTGAGCGTTCTCGTCGTGCTGAGGATGCTCGACGAGAACGGTAGCGAGTGCGACCTAGGCCATCATCGTCACGGCGAGTGGTCCATACGTCGACCACGCACGCTGCCCGAGATCGCGGCGAGCATGAGCGGTGTCACGCCAAAGTCGTCGGCCAAGTGGCTGGCTCGTCAAGACCTCAAACGCCAACACAATTGATGTCAAATGAACGTGCAAAGGATATCGAGCGTTGCATGGGAGCGTTGCAGAGCGCATGCAGGACGCGCAAGTAGCGTCTCTCGATCAACCGGCGCTGGGACTCGCTGACGTCCTTGGCCTTGCAGCGACGAAGAAACCCATCGACCTGCGAGTGTTTCCGTTGCATCCAGCATCATCGCATTGCAATCGCCGCGTACCGCAAGGTGAAGAGCGTTGCGCCCGCAACGAGGCGTCACAAGGTCCAACGCTGCCGGCTCGTTCGCAAGCCAAAGCTGCACTGCGTCCAGTCGACCGTCGCTCGAGGCGATCCAGCCGCTTTGATCCATGGCCTTCTTCGTCTTGGCATCGCGGGCGATCATGAGCGGTGTCCGTCCTTGCGTGTCTAGCGCGCGCCGCATGCGCTGGGCGTCACAGTCCCAGGCGCCCAAGTAGCGCACAATAGGAATCTGCCCCGCCTTGGCTACAACCTCGGTGAGCCTTCAAATACATCGAGGTAGCCACACTGACCGGCGATGTGGAGTGCATTTTGCTTTCGCTTGCAGACGGCGGCAACATCGCAGCCATCGACGTCGTTGGTGAAACACCGGACGACGTCGAGAGCACCATGGAGCGCAGCAGCATGCAGCGGCGTACAGCCGCGGTCGTCGCGTGCGTTGACGTTGGCACCGAATTGCAAGAGAAGGCGGACGCTAGGAAGGCACCCGGCTGCCGCGGCTACGTGCAGCGGTGTCCTCTTCGCATTGGAGACCGCATCCACGTCGATCGTGTCGCACATGAGTAGTTGCCCGAGCATGTCGGGACCGTCCTCGGACGCGTTCTGCGCCGCATGCTACCGAGGGACGCTGCCAGCGAGCGATCGATGTAGTGCAGTCGTACGTGGAGCGGGGTCCACCCGTTGGCATCCGCTGCATTCACATCGTGTGTTGGATGCTGCGCGAGCGCCATCTCGAGAGCATTGACTGTCCCTTTCCCGGCAATCTGCAGCACCATGACCACTTTTAACAAGGGAAGACGTCACATACATACCTTGTGCAAGGGAGTTTGCAGCAGCGAGCCCGAGAGAGCAATGTTAGTCGCGTCGTCCTCAGCGTGGTCGGCGAGGTAGATGGCGGCGCGGGAGCGATCAGACGACACATCCAGGCCTTCGAGCCCTGCGAGCACATCTAGTGAAATACGCGTCGTCGTCATGTTGCACAACTGCGACACGGACGCTGGCGAATGGCTTTGGAGGGCGCGGCAGCCAAGACCGTGCGGACCGTCTCTGGCAAATACGAACGCCCACAACCAAGACGAACGCACGCAGAAATCACGTCCCGCTGGCCACGTCGAGCTGCATAGCCCAGTGGTACTTGCCCCGACGTGTCTAGAAATCAAAAAAGTAGCAGGGATGCTTTCGTCTCCAGTTGCATGTATTGTACCCGATACATCGAGCTGTGGCAAGTGCGATGCGAATAGTTGCGCGAGCCGCGGCTCAGCGCGCAGCAGCGGCGGCCACACGTTGACGCGGTTCCACGCGGCCTACGTCGCACCATCGGAAGGTGTTAGGAATGGAGGAGCTTACATGGTGGAGCACCGAGCAGCCACACGCATCCAGCGGCAAGAGCAGCTCGAGAAGCCTCGAGGCCCGTTTGCTCGGCTCGTCCTTGGTCGCGTCGCTACGCCATGTCTCATTCTTTCTGCTGTGCCCGCATGATGGCTGCCACACCGCACATAACGAAGCAGGGCCTCGGCCGCGTCGGTCGACGGCTGCATCAAGGCAATCTGCAGAGGCGTGCGCTCGTAGACGATGTCTTTGACAAAAACGAGGTGCCCAAGCGACATGCGAGCCAGTTGCGCTCGTAGCGATGCATCATCGCCGGAAACGATCGCTTGCAAAAGCGGATGCTCCGAGGCCGAGGCACGCAGGAAGGAAAGACTGGCGGCTTGAGCTGTACTACGCGGCTGCCTCCTAGCGCACTGTCTATGAGGAGTAGCGTGCGTCGTAAACGCAAACTTGATCGTCGGAGACGGGTCTGGCGACTCGGCCGTATATATAGGTCGGTGCTCGACTTTTGCATCGGACGCATCGTTTGCATTGCTGTCGTTGTGCTTGGCTTCCTCGACGTCGTCCGACGACGACTCGGAGAGTTCGCACTTGCTCTGAGCAGCACGGCTATTGTCGCTGTCACTCGACGCGTCGGTCGCTGCCTTGGCCTCGGCGCACGACGGGCCTTTCTGTGCTGGCGTTTCCTCTTCGGCGTCCGACGTCTTGGGTGCCGCCAAGGTCGCGTACTTGTTGAGTGAGGACGCTGTTGGGCTGCGCGAGGCTTCTCTCTGCGCGAAGGACGCCAGTGCTGACGGCTGGACGGCGCTGAGAAGCTTCTTTGGCGACTCGGGTTGGCCAAAGGTTCCACTGAGCGCAGGCATTTGAAGCGTTGCGAGCTTCGGTGGGCTGGACGGACCGCCAAGAGGCAGTTTGCTGCTGCCCAGCGGCTTGAGTGGGCTTAGACTCATCGCGTCGTTTCGCGAGCTCGAATCGAATCTCCGATCTTTCGACAGGACAACAGGACAGCACGCGGTGTGTTAGTACATGTAGATGATGTCTGCGACTACACTATACACGACGCGTTACTGGAGCTGCGAGGCAAAGAGGCGCGGCCAGAACTGCAAGGTACATTATTTATAGGCGACGGCTGCATAGACGAGAAAGGCGAGAGCCAGAAGACCTGCCACACACTACCCACAGCCACTTAAAAGCGGGGCTCCATACAGGGCATGCGTATTTGACTCTATAACATTAAACTAAAAATATCAATCTATCAAGTAGAATACATTTGGTCAGGGTGAATTCGAACTTCATTTACACCTCTCAGATACCGTTTAAAGATATCGTAGACCGCGTGAATAACTGTCCGTGGCTCGTGGCTGGGCGTGAAAACGCTCTCTGGATACGCCGCTGTACAAGATTTGAATAACAACGAAGTAAAAAGTGCAATAGTCGGTGTGAATTCGAACTTCATTTACACCTCTCAGATACCGTTTAAAGATATCGTAGACCGCGTGAATAACTGTCCGTGGCTGAACTGGAGGATCATTTTGTCGATGATTGCGGCCGTCGTGATGTCCGGTGCGACCCACGCGAGCTGGTACAAGAGGATACGCAGACCGCTTGCAATATGATGGCCTTGCCGGCCAAGGTCGTCGACTTGTGTCGCCAGAGGAGCAACCGGTCACGCCAAAAGTCCATTGGTTGTGGCTGGGCGTGAAAATGTAGATTGGTTTTGCCGCCGTTTGAAATGTGAGTATGGAGTGAAGTTATCAAAGTGGAAACGGTCGCAATGATATTTTTACAACACGTATGATTCTAGCTATTGGATTATGACACACAAAGTGATGGAGGGAAGTGTAGTGTTGGGGCGAGAGGGGTGGATGACGCAACATTGACCACCTACTGAGGAGAATAGTACATGTACGGCGTCATGGTGTCGCGGGGCGAGTCGTAGGGACGAGGCGAGCGCACGGCGTCCATGGCGGGTCGACCAAAGTAGACGAGCGGCGTCGGCGGTGGCTCCAAGAGCGCGGCCTGCGATCGAAAGCACTGGAGCTCCGACTCCATGTTGGCCATCGTGACGAGTGCTGTCGTCAGCTCATGAAGCACCTCTGCGTACTTGCGCTGGATGACCGTGGTCGCGCTTTCGACCGCCGCAACGTACGTCGTGTCGCTGTAGGGCAAGGTGCCATTCCACAGCGACCACATCTGACCGAAAGCCTTGGCCTCGGCGTCGCTGGCGTCCGAGAGACGGTAAATCAAATCGTCGCGGGCCGTCAGCTCTGCCGCCAAATAGTCGACTTGCTCCACCAAACCGTCGTTGTCGCGGTGGCTGAGAGCCAGCTCTTCCGAGAGACGGTCGACCTCCTTGGCCAGTCGCGCGTTCTCAGCCACAATGTCGCGCTCAAGGCTAAGGCGTCGTGGCGCCGGCTTCTTGTCGGGACTTTCCAGCGGCCTGCGGGTGTCGTTCGGGCTCGGCGACTTGGGATCGAGGCGGAGTGGCAGACAGGCCGACGCCGCGTCGGTCTTGGTCACAAACTTGAAGAGCGCCCGGACTCTGGCCATGCCAACATGGGTCTTGAAGAGGTGCTCGGCGCTCGGGTACGTCCACGCTGTCTCAATGCAACCAACGGCGTCGCGCAGCTTGGTCGTGAGCGCTGCGACGTCGTCATAGTACGGCTCCAGAAGGACGGCAAAGTGATCAGCGCCAACGAGATGGCAATGCACCGGGCATGGCGACGCTGTGCTGATCTGTCGGTTCGAGAGCACGTAGCCTCGTTGGACGTTATGGAGCGTCTCGAAATGCTCGAGGTTGATGACATGGGCGGCAAAGTCACGGCCCAGCGGGACGTAGACCATGAGCACGTCGTGCGTTGCGGCGTACATGTTGTCGGCGTCATACAAGCGGCCAATGTGGTCCACGCCGTACTCTTCCACGACCAGCGACGTCGGCTTGGATGCAGCGTGCGCAAGCATCGTCCGGCACTCGGCCTTGATCGCGCGCTGCGCCGACGAGTCGTCGGGCGTGTCGAGGACAGGCCGAGGTGCCGTCGTGAGCGCCCGAAACAAATGCATGACGCATGTGTTTTCCATCTCCGGTGGCGAGAGGAAGGCCACGATCTCGCGGTGCGTGATGACCTTGAGCAGCGTCGCCGTGAAGAGGCGGCGCTCGCCGCTGCCGCCGGCGCGGACGACGTCCTGCAGCTTGCTATAGACCTTGGGCATGGCAAACCGGTGAATGCAACCTGAGGCAGCAGTCGCCAGTGGCGCTGCAGCCTGTATAAACCTCGGGTAAACGCAGCGAGCCAAGCCAGCACCGGCGGCCGTCAGAAGCCCATGTCTGTACAGGTGCCAGCAGTTGTCCGGATAAAGAGTCTTGAGGGGCGTGCATTTAGCCGATATCGAGTCTTATCAGTAAAATACTCTCAAAGTCGATAGCTGTGCGTGAGCAATCATGAAAGGTATGCATTCCAAGAGCCTTTTCCAGACCCCATACAGTGTCTCCAAAGACAGTGTGTAGCATACACTGTGTTTGGATACTCGGGAGCGATCACAGGACACATCCAGGACTTCGAGCCCTGCGAAATACGCGTCGTGGTCAAGTTATTATAGCACTGCAGCGATACGGACGCTGACGAATGGCTTTGGAGGGTGCGGCGGCCAAGACCGTGCGGACCGTCTCTGGCAAATACGAGCGCCAACAGCCAAGACGAACGCACTACCGCTCACAGCCAAGACGCACGCACGCAGAAATCACATCCCGCTGACCGCGTCGGGCTGCGTAGCCCAGTGGTACTTGCCCCGACGTGTCTAGAAATCAACACAGTTGCCAGTATGCTGCGTTCGTCTCCAGTGCATGTATTATTGTACCCAATACATCGAGCTGCGGCAAGTGCGATGCGAGTAGTTGCGCGAGTCGCGGCGCACGACGGGCCCTTCTGCGCTGGCGTTTCCTCTTCGACGTCCGACGTCTTGGGTGCCGCCAAGGTCGCGTACTTGTTGAGTGACGACGCTGCTGGGCTGCGCGAGGCTTCTCTCTGCGCGAAGGACGCCAGCGCTGACGGCTGCACGGCGCTGAGGAGCTTCTTTGGCGACTCGGGTTGGCCAAAGGTTCCACTGAGCGCAGGACTTTGAAGCGTTGCGAGCTTCGGTGGGCTGGACGGCACGCCAAGAGGCAGTTTGCTGCTGCCCAGCGGCGTGAGTGGGGTCAGACTCATCGCGTCGTTTCGCGAGCTCGAATCGAATCTCCGATCTTTCGACAGGACAACAGGACAGCACGCGGTGTGTTAGTACATGTAGATAATGACTGCGACTACACTATACGCGGTGCGTCACTGGAGCTGCGAGGCAAAGAGGCGCGGCCAGAACTGCCAGGTATAGGCGACGGCCGCATAGACGAGAAAGGCGAGGGCCAAAAAACCCGCCGCACGCGGTAGCCACAGCCGCAGCTGCTGCAGTCGATGACGCCGCTCGAGCCGCTGCCAGCGAATCTGCAGCTGGAGTTGCTCGACGGCGTGTTTGAGGCGCCGCTGCTTTACAGTATCTTCTTGCTTGGTGAGTTTGAGCGTCACGTCGGCGAGCTCGAGCTCGAGCGCGACGCAGCGCTTCTTGGCCTCAAGGAGCTCGTGCTGGAGCTCGACTTGGCGCTGCGCGATCGGGTCTGTGGGCACGCGGGGCTTCCCGAGCACGTTGTTGACGACGGCGACGACGACCTGGAGCGCGCCTGAGACGAAGGCCACTTCCATCTTCTCGCCTTGATTTGGAAACTCTATTGAGCGCCGTATCTTTCTCTGGATTCGGCACATCGCCTCGGATTCGGCATGTATGACATACATTCCTTTTCGATTCGGCAGATACCGAAACGGCAGAAACGGCGCCACCGTGATGAGCGCGGTTTGATGGGCATCACTCAGAGTGCACTCTGGAAGGCTGTGTTGCAGATAGAGCTGTGACACGAGTACTAGCAGTAGCCTCACACTCTCGCAAGACAACAACTGCGCAAGACACGTATCCATCACCCACTGGCGGCGACTGCAACCCGGTCGTAGCTATTAATACGCGTGGGGTGTTGGTTGCCGCCTTTCCACGAGGTGTTTCGAAACCTCAAGGCGTCTTTTGGCGCCTCATTTTTTCTTTGGCGCCATGGCCCACCAGTTCTCTGCCCCGCCTGCGCCGCTTCAGGCCAAGGTCAAGCAGCTCAGCGTGAGCGACGACGGCATCGGCGTGCGGCAGCCCGCCCCCGTCTCGCCAGCGTCCGAGGCTCGGGGCGTGCGCCGTGCACCGATTAACGACCCGTCCGTCGAGCCCGACGACCATCGGCTCGCGCATCCTGCGACGGTGATTCCGAAATCGCCCGAAACCAAGACCGTCATCATGAAGGCGCTCAAAGGGCACTACCTGTTCAGCTCGCTCGACGACTCGGAGATCCTCGATATCATGAACGCGATGAGCAACGTGCAGCACCCCGCGGGTGCCGACATCATCGTGCAAGGCACGCCCGGGAATGTCTTTTACATCCTCGAGAGCGGCGCGTGCGCGATCCTCGTCAACAACGAGGTCGTCGGGCAGTACGCCTCGGGCGACGCATTTGGCGAGCTTGCACTGCTCTACAACAGTCCGCGTGCGGCGACCATCAAAGCACTCGCGCCTTGCAGCCTCTGGACCGTCGACCGTACGTCGTTCCGCAAGATCCTTGCAACGACGGCCTCGACGATGCAGCTGTCGCGTGTCCAGTTTCTCCAAAATGTCGATCTGCTCCAGCGCCTTAGCAACAACCAGCTTCAGAAGGTGGCAGCGGCCATGAAGCTCGAGACGTTTGCGGATGGCAGCTACATCATTCGCCAGGGCGAGGAAGGTCACCTCTTCTACATTGTTGTCGAAGGCACGGTGCTCTGCACGACGACGACCCTCAACGATGGCGAGAAGCCACTCATGAGCCTCACGAAAGGGCAGTACTTTGGCGAGATGGCACTCATGCTCAACGAGCCGCGCCAAGCCAACTGCATCGCAAAGGGCAAAGTCGCCTGCTATGTACTCGGTCGCAACGAGTTTACGCAGCTCCTTGGACCGCTCCGCTCACTCCTCGACCGTCAAATGCGCATCCGCGTCCTTCGCTCGGTGCCGCTGCTCAACTACCTCACGGACGACGAGCTCGACCTCCTTGCGCACGCCCTCCGCGTCGTGTCGTACGAGGACAAAGAGCAGATCCTCCGCCAAGGCGACGCCGGCGACACCTTTTACATCATTTCCGACGGCAAAGTGAGCGTCCAGAAGACCGGCATCGAGATTATGCAGCTTCGGTCCGGTGAGTTCTTTGGCGAGCGCGCACTCTTGTCCAAGGAGCCACGGGCTGCCGACTGCTTTGCAACCGGTCACGTCGAGTGCCTCTGTCTTGACCGGAGCGCGTTCGAGCGGCTACTCGGAAAGCTCGAGCACATTCTGACACGTGAGACGAAGCGCCAGCAGCTCATGCAAGAAGCTGTGCTCCAGACGAAGACGCCGTCGCACCCGTCCACGGTGCAGACCAAGAAGTATGCACTTGGCGACTTTGAAAAGATTCAGACGATCGGAACTGGCACGTTTGGCCGCGTGCTCATGGTCAAGCACAAGGCGACGGGCAAGACGTTCGCGCTCAAGTGCATGCTCAAGGTCAACATCGTCGAGACGCACCAGCAGCGGAACGTCCTCCATGAGAAGAGCATCATCAACGAGTGTGAGCACCCGTTTGTTCTCAAGCTCTACGAGACGTTTACGGACGCTGACCAGCTCTACATGCTGCTTGAGCTGGTCCAAGGCGGCGAGCTCTGGAGCTTGCTCTACGAAAAAGCCTACCACGTTCCCAAGGGTATCTGCGGCGCATTTGACATTCCATCGGCGCGCTTCTACATTGCGAATGTGGTCGAAGTGTTTCGGTACCTCCAGACACTTGGCGTTGCATACCGCGACTTGAAGCCCGAGAACCTCATGATCGACGACAAGGGCTATCTCAAGATGGTCGACTTTGGTTTTGCCAAGCACATTCCGTTCTACAAGGGCAGCCAGCTCTGCGAGCGCAGCTTTACGCTGTGCGGCACGCCCGAGTACCTCGCGCCCGAACTCGTTCTCAACAAGGGCCATGGCAAGTCGGTCGACTACTGGGCGCTCGGTTGCCTCATTTACGAACTCCTCGCGGGCCGCACGCCATTCCAGCACCAAGAGCAGCAAAAGATCTTTGAAAAGATCATCCACGCCAAAGCGTCGCTCAAGTTCCACCCCAAGTTTGACCCGCTCGCGCAGGACCTCGTGACCAAGCTCCTCGAGCCCAACCCGGGTCTTCGCCTCGGTAAGCGCCACGAAAATTCGTGTTGTGGGATCGTCAACGTCGTATATTAGGCTCTTTGGCCGGCGGCATGATGGAGGTCGTCAACCATCCGTGGTTTGCGAACGCCAACTTTGACTGGAAGGCGCTCGTTGCCAAGAGCATGAAGGCGCCGTATGTCCCGACCATCAAAAGCGGCGTCGACGTCTCCAACTTTGACCGGTGCTCCGAAGGCTCGTCGATCCCCAAGTACACGGGGGAGGAGTTTTTTGAGAACTTCTAACTGCGTCCTTCGCAGCTGCTCGCATGCACCCACGTGTCGCTGCCGATATATCAAATCAATTCAATGTCTCTTTGTTTGCTTGCTGTGTACCGTGTACCACAAGAGCAGGAAGCAACGCACAAGGTCACGCGACCGACGCCGCCCGCTGGTATGTCGAGTGACAAAGCACATGTCGACTCGCTACATAGGTATTGATGCAGCTAGGTTTGCTCAACGATCAAAGATCTTAGTTGGCGGCACTTGAAAAGGTCGAGGCGTTTCGGATATCAGCCATCTCGCGCTATGGTTGTGCCACGTCAGATTGCCGATCGCGTCCGGTAACCGGCGACACAATTCCGGATACGCGTCGCGATCTTGAACGGACGACAGCGATGGCGTGCACCTTTGGCCCGTCGCACTGCTTCCATGAGACGTCGATGCTCATGGTCTGTGCCTATGTCTACCTCGGCGCGGCCTTCTTCGCCGGCTACATCCATCTGCGCCGGGCGTACCTCCGCGAGCATGGCCACAACACGATCTTGGTGCCCGTGCGCCGCGTCCGGTTCTTCCCGCTACTGCTCCTGGTCGCGTTTGGGGCGCGCGCTGCGTGGTTCATCTTGCTGGACGTACATGCGATGCAAGTCGCAGAGAGCAGCAGCGGCGACAATGGGCGCTATCGCAACGTGGTCGTCTATGTACCGCTCCTCGACATGACGGTCGACGTCTACCCGCTCGGCGTCTTGAGCTGGAACAAGCTCGCGACGCTCTTGTACGTCTCTGCCTTTACGCTCCTCGTGCAATTTTGGGCCGATATGCTGCACCACACCAACAGCACGCATGACAAGTCGTCGCGCACACCAGTACTACAGATCTTCCCGACCACCGACCATGGACCATGGAGCGAGGCTGACTAGGTGCAGCGCGCCCGCCCGTCGCGTCAGCGCAACGTGCTCGTGATTGCCAACGTGTGGATGTACGCAGTGGAGATCGCGCTCTTGCTCGTCAAGGTACTATTCTTGGGTCGGCTCGCAGTTATTGTGATGTTCAATCTGTGAAAGACGTTCTACCCGGATCAGAGCGAGTCGACATGGTACATGAACTCGGACGGGTGGTGCACCGCCTTCTTCTTCTGCGGCCTCGCCGGCGCGCTCGTACGTCCGAGCTCCTGCCGCTCGACGAGCCGATCGTTGCGATTAGGGCTATGACGCCTTCCGACTGCGCCAGTTCTTTGATGCGCAAGAGCATTCCCGCGTCGCGACCTACGTCGCCGAGCGCGTGACGGTGCTAGGCCTTCTCTGCGCTGGCCTCTTCTTCCTCCGCGCCATTTTATTCCTATCGACGCCCGTCGCGTCCTTCCAGGCAACGGCAACGCCGTGGTAGGGGCGCGCGGTGTTGAACAGGATGAGGATCGTTCGCTTCCTAGGCTCTTCTACGCGATACCCGAGTTGCTTCCAGGAGGCCTCGTTCTCGCCCTCATGCGCGTCAAACACGACAGTAGTAGCAGCAGCTATGGAAAAGACCTCTCGCCAACCGAGCGCACGCCGCTGGTCTCGCCCGAGAACATGCTCTCGGTCTAACCACCACCAAGTGCCACGATCGTCCAAGCTAGGGCAGAGGACAATTTACAATGATACTGACGCTGCACACCTCTGCATGTGAACACGTAGAAGCGAATTCCCCTTGAAACAACGCCTTGAGCCGCGCAAGAGTAAGAAAATGTCTTGTCTCGTATCTCTAAATCGGTCCTCGACTTCTGGCTGGCACCATCTCATTTCGTCGCTATTGCTTGCGATAGCGCGTCGCCACGAGGGTCCCCTGCGCTCGATCGATGGGCTGCGTCGCTCGACAGGCGGCAAAAATGATTTTTATCGTTTTGATTTGTGTGCCAAGTTGGTCCAGCTTGGAATCTCGAGGTTCGATTTGTATGGGGATGGCGCCTTGCCACTTTTCTTCAAAGCGTGCTTCCTTCTTGAAGGTTCAAGAACTTGGTATTGGTTGCACGACCTCCTGGGAAGCTTCTCCTCTTCGCGCCGACACATCAATGGCTGCCATCTCCTTCAACAAAAACCGAGTCGTCCCACGAACGTCCAGCACATACAAACACCAAGTGCACCTGCCCCATTGACTTGGCATCCTCCGATTCGCTGCCACAGTACGATGTCCATCATCTTGGTTTTTGTATGCCGCTGCCGTGGACTGGGCCCATTGCTTCAAGTTTCGGTACGTCCGAATTCGGCCCAAGCAAAGACACGGTGACGTTATGACCACACGAGTATGACGCGACACCGCTCTAGCTCGCGTACTCGCCCATAGCAACACTGCCTTGTGCTTACAGGACCCTCAGTATTGCCGCCGCATAGCCACGACATCGACCTCTCCTCGGTGCGCGCAGCTCAAGTGTCGTCCGATTGACCAGCATGTGCTGTCCTCAATCCGTGATCTAAACACACGCAACCTATACTTGTCTTTGGTATGCACAACTAAGAAAGCCTCTGATGCGCATCTCGCATTGCACAGACAGATGCTAAACGAAGCGAAATCTACGCGATTCTATTGCGGCATCGGCAGCGTTCATCGTGCTTTGATAGGTGTACACCTATGAATTTTGGCAGGATCGGTGCGTCTCCGCATCGCGCACGCCTCCAACGGTACCCTTGATATATGTTCTGGCCGAAAGTTGCGTGTGGTCAGCGTATCCACGCTCTTTTGATCAGAACTAGGACATGTCCTAGATTCGAGCAGATTCCAGGTCGAATCTCGGTTTTCTCCGTGGACGACCGACGCGACGTGGCAGTCATTTCCAAAGCAGCGACGACCGACGATGGCGCCCAACGACCGCCGCAGCTCGCCGCCGAACGAGCTCACGCCGCTCTGCGCGTCGCCCGAAGTGCAGACGATCCTCGTCGTCAACGACAACATGCGCACCAACATCAACGGCGTCGTGACCATGTTCAACAACATCGAGGGCCTCGCCGAGCGCGACGGCTTTCGCCTCGTGTACCTCAACCCGAGCGAGTTCCCGCACTTCGACTGTCCTGGGTACCCGGACATCAAGATGTCGCTGCCCATCGGCTTTGACGACAAGGTCGCCAGAATCGCCCCCGACTACATTCACATTGCGACCGAGGGGCCGTTGGGCCTCGCGACGCGCATCTACTGCGACCGCCGCAACATCAAGTACAACTCGGGCTACCACACCAAGATCCCCGAGTACATCAACGTCATGTACGGCGTGCCCGAGAGCTTTGGGTACGCGTACCTCCGCTGGTTCCACCGCAACTCGGCGCGCGTCCTCACCACGACGTCGAGCATGGTCCACGAGCTCGAGCACCACGGGTTTTACAACCACATCAAGCCCATGACGTTTGGCGTCGACCGGCGCATCTTTCGAAGCGCGCTGCGCAGGACGGACTTTCTCGGGCTGCGCCGCCCGATTTTGCTCAGTGTCGGGCGCGTCAGCAAGGAGAAAGGGCTCGACGACTTTTGCAATCTAGCGTACCCTGGCACCAAGATTGTGGTCGGCGACGGCGCGTACCGCAAGGAGCTGCAGCACAAGCACCCCGACATCGTCTTTACCGGCTTTCAGAAAGGCAACGCGCTGGCCGAGTACTATGCCAACGCCGACGTGCTCGTGTTTCCGTCGCGCACCGACACCTTTGGCGTCGTCATCATCGAAGCGCTTGCGGTCGGGACGCCCGTCGCCGCCTACAACGTGACGGGCCCCAAAGACATTTTGGAGCATGGCGTCACCGGCATCATGGGCGACGACCTCCGCGCCAACGTCGACGCGTGCTTGACCCTCGACCGGCGCCAGGTCGAAGACGCGAGCGCCGGCTGGTCATGGGAGAATTGCTGGCAGATCTTTCGCCGCCACCTCATCAAGCGCGACCACCAAATGGTCCTCTACTAGCGTCTCCCTCTCCGTTGTGTCTCTGTGTGTTTGATCCTTAAATCCACTCGTTGTTTTGTTTCGTTCAAGTATCAAGTTGATACGAAAGAGGATGCGGCACGGAGGTGGTGGCGAGTCCCGACGCTACACATCATCAACACGGACGAGGTGACGGCCAACTCGAAAGTATCAAGACTTCAAACGAATGGAAATCCAGTTGCGTGTTCTCGCTTACTCGTCCGTGCGCTGCTTCTTGTGGGGCGCGCCTTCGACGCAGACCTCGACGAGCGTCGGGTACGTCTCGGCGGCGTCCGCGAAGCCTTCGAGGGCCTTGGCGATCGCGCGGCGCACGTCGTCGTCGGCGTAGACCTCGGCCGGCGGTTCGTCGATCGCGTAGAGCTTGTTGAGCTGCCGGAGCACATCTTTCGTGTCCTTGTTCTCGCTGAGGAGGTAGCCTTTCACGATGCTCGGGTGCTTCTCGCTCCAGACCGCGAGGACGCTGAGCGGGAACGGGTCGAATGCATCCGAGAGCTTGGTGATGCACTGCAGCGCCGTCGTGTCGGCACGGCGTGGAGCAAGAGGCGCAAGAGACCGGCGAGCGCCTCGCCGTGGACGCGTGGGTCCATGCACGCAAGCACCTTGCGCAAGGCCGCGAGCACGCCCTTGTCCTTCTTCTTGGCTTCTTGCTCGACCGCGAGGAGCTCCCACGTACTCTGCTGTTCGAACGCGCTCCACTGCAGCGAGCTCAGCAAGATCGTGGCCATATGGTCGCGGAAGATGGCGAATTCCTTGAGGAGCACGCGCATGCAGAGCGTGCTGAGCTGGCACGGCGTCGCAACCGAGACGAGCTGGCGAACCATCGCGTCCATGCGCGGCAGCGCGCCCCAGCTGCTCAGCTCCGAGCTGTGCCGAAAGAGGAACGGCAGCACGCGCAGCACCGTGGTCTCGACGGCCGCGCCCGACGGCGTCGATGGCTGCTGCAGGAGCGACGAGGCTAACGCCATGGCTTCGTCCACGTGCACGCTGAGCGAGAGGTCCTGTAGAATGGCGGTCGGTGCTTCGACACCTACGAGCTCGCAAAACGACAGGTACGGCTGGAGAGCCTCGTCCGGCTTCTTGCCCGACTGCGTGCAGCAGTGCACGAGAAGGCGGTGACTCATGACCGAGTCGTGCTTGAACATTCCCTACGACGACGGTGGAAGATGAGCTCCTCCATTGACCGTCCACACATCAAAGGCACCTGAAGCAGCGGCAGGTACAGCTGCGGTGGGCGCTGGAGGCACTGCTCGAGCACATACTGAGGCGTGGCCATGGATGTGAGGAAGGACCGCTCGAGGCACTTGTACATAAAGCCACCGAGGTCGCTGCTCAGCGCAATCGCATCCGGCGAGTGGCTCCACGCCGTGAGCACGACAGCGATCGCGTTGCAGAGCTTGTCGTTGTCTTGGGCCGACAGCAGCAACTGCAAAGGCTCTTCGAATGGCCGGAGCGACTCGGGAAACGTGACGGGCGCGACACCTGTCTCCAGCGACTGCGACCGCTCTTGCAGAAACGATTGCTCCTGCCACGCATCCGGCTCGTCGTGCAGCTCGGCCGATGACGTTGTCGGCGATACGTTGCCAGGGCTGCGCGAGATACTCGGACTCGACTGCCCCGGCGACTTGCGTTGATTGGGCGACTGCCGACTCGGCGACTGCCGCTGGCTCGGCGACTGCCGGTGGCTGGGCGATTGCCGGTGGCTGGGCGATGGTTGGTGGCTCGGTGATTGCTGGCGCGGAGACGGCTGCGTGTACACAGGCGACTGGTGGTGGCTCGGCGACGAAACCGGCGACGATGTGGTCGATGGTGGGTTGCTCTTGGGCGAAAAATGTGCCGGGAGCGCGCGTTGGAGCCGCGCAAGGAGCGAGTGGTCGTCCTTGATGGCTTCAAGGACCGGGCTCACGCTGCGCATGACGCCCTTCTGAATGAGTGCATGCATGCTTTGGCTCGCTCGGTCACTCTCGCCTGCCTCGACCGCACTCACCAAGAACGTGAGCATATCAGTGACCATGCTCAGGTTGCGGTTCTTGGTCGACTTTAGCTACCGCGAATTGTTCAATGAGCTTTTTCCACGCATGATGCGCATCGAGCGTACCAAAGCATCATTGACGGCTCGAGGCTCATCACCGAGACGTCGTGGGCAAAGTAGATGTAGTCGAAGAACATGGCGTGGAGCGCCCGCTGCTTGGCCAGCGGCGTTTTGCTAGCCAGAGAAAATTGTCTCCCAGAATGGCTCGTAGCTGTGTGTACCAGAGGAGGAAGACCCAGCCAAGCACGTGGTAGCGCGGCGTCATCTTGGCCTCGACGACCTGCGACGTCGGGTGGTACACGGCGCAAATGTAGCGCACGACGTCGGCGATGACACCGCCGTTGAGCGGTCCTTGCAAGAACGACGTCTGGAACCACTTTTGGTACCGGTGCGCGGCGACGTGCAGGACCTTGTCCGTCAAGAAGCGCAGCTGGTCCTGCATCTTGGCCGAGAGGCGGCAGATGAGAAACTTGGCCGGCGTCGGCGTCCCGAGGAGCGTCGGGAGATGCTGGCTCTGGACGTCGGCCCAAAGCGTCGGTAGCAGATCCCGGCAGTCGTACGTGAGGCGAACGAGTTCACGCCCGATGACGAGGACGACGGCCTTTCTCTCGACGAAGAGGCGGCTGCACACGTCGAGGAGGGTGGCTGGTGGGGCCTATTGTCGGCCATTTGAGCCTCGCGGACAAGCATTTCGATGCGTACCACAGACGCCATGGCTTCTGGCGCGATGCTTAGAAGCGTGTAGATGGCGTGCGCAACGACCGCATCGCTGAGCGTCGTCAAGTGCGCACCCAGCACCGTGAGCAGCCAGCTCGTCAAGCATGGCGTCACCGAGAGAGGGCCAATGTGGCTACAGTAACCTACCTGAGAGACTGCATGCAGAGACGGACGTCGACGTACCGCATGAGAACGATGAGGAGCGTGTCCATTTGCAGCGAGAGACCTTGCTCGAGCACAAAGTACAAGTTGGCGCGCGGGCCGCTCAGGAGCTTCTGGAAGCGCACCTCGATGAGCGACTGGAGCCCTTGCATTGTCTTGTCGCGGACGGTGTCGGCGTCGGCCACGAGCGCACGCAGCACGTGCCAGTAGAGATCGCGGTCGGAGGTCGACTCGGCCGTCAAGCACGCATACAGCATCGCCGTGTGCTTCTCAAAGTTCTCGCCAGCCTTGATCTTGGCGAGGCAGGCGTCGCGGTCCTTCTCGCCCACCAGCGTCTTCTGCGCCGCTGCATAGTGCCACGCCCAGTTCCGATCCAAGTCGTCGGCAATGTCCAGCGGTGCGTGCTGGAGCAGCTTGGACGACGGGATCGGGACGACGACCGTGGTCGGAGCCACGCGACTCGGTGGAGGCGCAGACGTCGGTGGGGACGGCGTAGGCTCTGGCGGAGGCGGTTGGCGCGGGGACGCCGGCGGTGGTGGCGGGGGTGGCGGCGGTGAATCGCTCATCTTCCGAACAAATGTTGCATCTGAAGTTCGCGCATCCAAAAACACACATTGAGACGCTGCTGATTGGTCCAGCCAACGAACTTGCAACGCGCGAGTTTGAACACGAAATCCGATGCAAAATCTGCTTTCCACAGCGGCGCGCGATGTACAAGCAGCTCCGAGTCCAGCTCTCTTCCATTACATTACAAGCATCCACTGCGCTTGCAAGGGCTACCTTCGTACCCGCAGCAGCTTGGTCCGTCATGCCGCTTGTACGTGGGGCCAGCATCGCCTCGCCAGCTCCATCGATACTAGTTAGTGATCCGTTGCGACGCCATTGTTGCCTCGGTCGACGATCCTGCAATCCTGTGCGTGGGATGATGCTCTTCACGCTGCCATGCATCAGGCGGCTTCAGCCCGAAGCGGACCAGAAGAGCTCCGATTGACGCTGATGTCGCACGGGCTTACCAGCACGCTACGGTAGCCTTTCGACGTTGTGTCGTGGGCCAGTATTCTCTCTTCCAGCTTGAAGCCAGGCGCTGGCACCTGCATCAAGTCGACGGGCTAGCGGTACGCGCCGTGGCCCGCAGTAGCATCCGCAGTAGCAGCCCGCAGTAGCAGCACGCAGTAGCAGCCTCCTCCATGCCATGGGACGTCGTCGCCTGTAGATGCACATCTTGGTGGTAAAGTGTATTATAATAAGTGCTTGATCTCGTGTTGCGTCGACGGCCAAAGTCAGTTGTGCGGACACCAACGACGCGTTGATTGGCTAAAATGAGACGGCAATAGCGGCTGCGATTGGGCGAAACCCCGTCTTTTTGCGAGCCGGGCCTATTACTGCATTTGAACGGGAGGCGTCGGTCGTAAGCATGGGCATCATGATCTCCAAGGTCTTCGCCTCGCTCTTCGGGAGCAAGGAGGTGCGCATCCTCATCCTGGGCCTCGACAACGCGGGCAAGACCACGATCCTGTGTACGTACCTGCGCTGGCGGCTGGCGGCTCATCCTCGCTTTGTGGGTAGACCGCCTCCAGGCCGACGAGATTGAGCAGACCGTGCCCACGATCGGCTTCAACGTCGAGACGCTCCAGTACAAGAACATCAAGTTCCAGGTGTGGGACCTCGGCGGCCAAACCAGCATTCGCCCGTACTGGCGCTGCTACTACCCCAACACGGACGCGATCATCTACGTGGTCGACTGCGCCGACGTCGACCGCCTCAACATTGCCAAGCAAGAGCTGCATGCGATGCTGGAAGAGGAAGAGCTCAAGGACTCTATCCTCCTTGTCTTCGCCAACAAGCAGGACCAGCGTGGTGCGCTCAACGCGGCGCAGGTACACTCGCCATGCAATACCTTGCCGTACTCCATCACATACACTAGCTCTCCGAGGCCATGGGCCTCTCGGACATTCGGAATCGCCAGTGGTCCATCAAGGAACGACGGCGACCAAGGGCACGGGTCTCTTCGAAGGCTTCGACTGGTGCGATGAGGCTGCATGGGCGTCGGCTCACCTCGCCTTCTTCGTAGGATCGTGACATGCATCAAGGGCGAGTAAGAAGTACAGTAGAGACAGGGATGGCGCGTGTAGACACTCGTCGGCAATAAAGCAGTGCATGTGTTCGCATTGCGTCCCATCGCTGGCTCAGAGCAGCTACATACCAGAGCACATGGAGCCACTGACATGGAGCCGTGTACCATAGCACATCGAGTCTATCTGTGCACAGTAGGTACACTGTACTGCCACTCAATGCGGCGCCTCTATCGGTCGCGACATTCTTGCAGCGTATCCGCGACACGGGAAGGTTATAGTTGCTGACTCTTGCGGCGTCGCGACGCTTCTGCCGTCGATGCCATGCGAGTCGCGAGCCCTCGCGAGCGCTCGCCACGACGCCTCTGCTGGCGTAGAGCTAATAGCTCGTGGATGTCTCTTCGATGCTGGCGATTCCGGGTTGTCTCGGGCGCTGTAGCCGAAACGATCGTTTTGATTGGCCAAAATGCCGTCATTGACAGAAACTTCGAGACACCACTTCGCATACAAACCGCAAGCTTGTAGACTGACGGTCCATACGGTCAGTTTATTGCTGCAATCAGAAAATGGCTGGCATCAGATGGCACCCAGCGGTTCGACAAACGCAGACGGCCGCGCCACGAGCATGTCGAGCGAGCGCCGTCGTCCCTCTATACACGGCGTGGATAGGTGAGCTGCGGCGACCACTCTATGACCCAAAATCCGGGTGCTGTGGGGTCTTTTTCTGGCGCCAACGCACCCGGATTTGTCTCGGAATCGCAGGTGCGAACGAGCCGCCATCTCCGGCGACGGAAGCGCAAAGACCAAGTGGCGACAAGGGATCGCCACGTCACTGGTTATTCCCTACCTGGCATCTACTACGCGTGACTCCCAAGGGATATCAATAATATGGCGATCGCCAAAGAGGGCAATCAACTGGTACAGAAAAGGAACGGGCAAACCGAAGTTCGAAGCGACGCGTTAAACCACGAGCGAGCCAGGCAGCCGATACAATTGCCAAGATAAGTGGTGTGTATTTTTTAAATAAAAACACGGGCGCTGGGGATACAGAGTAGGATTCTGGGCCTACAGTCGATTCGGTAGCCGAAGTCAGCAGCCATGGTCAAGCAGGGCGGCAAGCGCCACCGGTCGACCGAGTACGAGAGCGCGATCCACCAAGCGGTCTCGATGCGCGAGATGCTGCCGACGCCGCCGATGCTCAAGCGCATGAAGTCGGCCGAGTGGACGCACGAGATCCAGCCCGCGAGCGCGACGAGCACGCCATCGTCCGTGCGCAGCATGGACACGGGCGAGGTCCAGTCGTACCCCATCGCGTCGACGCCGTCGTCGGTCAAGAGCATGGACACTAGCGACGCGATGCACCACAACGCCTACTGCGCGCCGACGCCGTACGGCCCGTCGGCAGTCATGGCCCCAACACCGACGTATGCGACGCCCACGCAGCCTCCGCACCAGCTGCGCCGCACCAAGTCGGAGCCCAAGCACCAACTTGAGAAGCACGCGCAAGCGCACGCCCAGGCGCACCGCCAGCAACTCCACCGGGCGCCGTCCGACCCGACCGCGGACACGGCGGCTCGCATGTGGAACTTTGAAAATTGGGAGTGTGGCAGTCGGTACGCCTTTGTGCGCCCGATGGGCCAAGGCTCGTACGGCCAGGTACACACATTGGCCTTTGCGAGACCCAAGTACTATCGATCGCTATGGCTAGGTCGCCGAAGCATACGACACGGTCATGAACCGAAGGGTCGCGATCAAGCGCGTGATCAGCGTCTTTGACCGTGCGCAGGACTGCGTCCGCCTCTACCGCGAGATTTACATCTTGCGGCACCTTCGCCACGCCAACGTGATTGCGCTTGTCGACGTCATCTTGCCGCCGAGCGACCTCTCGCGCTTCAACGACCTCTACCTCGTGTTCGAGTACGCCGACACAGACCTCCAAAAGCTGTTTTGCCTCCCGCAATACCTCAACATTCGCCACGTCCAAGTGTTTCTGCACCAACTTTTGCGCGGCCTCAAGTACCTCCAGCTCTGCCACGTCATCCATCGCGACCTCAAGCCGGCCAACATTCTTCTCAACGAAGACCTCTCGCTCAAGATTTGCGACTTTGGCCTGGCCCGCGTGTACGAGTCGACGGAAGACCAAGAGCAGCCGGCGCAGTCGGCGTCGACGCGCGACTCGTTCAACGACGCTGGGGATGGCCAGGCGCCTAAGGTATTTGCTTTGCTGCTGCTCTTTCTGCATGCCACATGCGTAGCTCATGCACCGCCAAATGACGCGCCACGTCGTCTCGCGCTTCTACCGCGCCCCGGAGCTCATCTTGCTCCAGGTGCGAACTAATACCACCTCCCGTGTCGCATGCCTAAGCATACCGTGTAGGACTATGGCCACCCCGTTGACATGTGGAGTGTTGGTTGCATCTTTGGCGAGCTCCTCAACATGCAGCAGGAAAACTGCCGCCACTACCAGGTACAGCGTCATGTTGCATCCACGAGTTTCTCACTCGATATGTAGGATCGGAAGCCCATCTTCCCCGGCCGGTCCTGCACGACGCTGAGTCCCACCGACACGTCGACGTACACAAAGGAGGTATGCACGGACCGTTGCGCCTTCCGATGGCCAATATTGTCTGCTGGTAGATGGACCAGCTCTACGTGATTTTCAACACGATTGGCACGCCGAGCGATTACGACATTGACCAAAGCGGCCGCTTCGCGCCCTTCTTGCGCCAGATTCCGAAGAAGCCGGCGATGGATCTGCGCGAGCTGTACCCCGGGGCGCCGCTCGAGGCGCTGGACCTCTTGCGCCAGTGCCTCATGTTCAACCCCGCGAGCCGCATCACGGTCGACGAAGCGCTCAACCACCCGTTCCTTCGCGAGGCGCGTCAAATGGGCGCGGCGGTACGTGTCGTTTTGTACTGTGGACAAGTTGTCTATCGGCGAATGTAGCCGGTGGACCCGATGCCGCTCAAGATGCCGTTTGACGACAACGACGAGCGCTTGTCGCGGGACGAGCACAAGGCGCGCATCTACGCCGAGATTTTGAACTTCCGCGCCGTGGCGATGGCCATGGACCGACCGCATCTCAATGGCGACACCCGGTAATCATGTATTTAGCAGTATCGTCACCAATGAAGCGCGTTGTGTATTGTGTACATGTTGTCTTTTTCGCCTACATTTAACATTGTTTTGTGGCCAGAAGTGTCCATTTACGACACCACAGACCCTTAACCCTACTGGATGTTAGTGCAGTAAAAATTACGTAAAGCCGATGAATACCACGAAGCTATGTCGATTGCAGTCGGTCGCAGCCGGGCCTCTCGGGCGGTGGCCCCTCCTGCGTGTGACCGTTGGTCGCATACAGTGGTGGGGCACTGGGTGTGAACCTAGCCCACGTCCACACCACTAGGCCGGGACAAGGCGATGTGTGTTTGCACGTTTAGTCCTACGTGAGAAGCTCGTTGATGTGGGACTGTACAGCCTTTGGCAGCAGTCTGTAGACGTAGCTTAGCTGTCACTTTCCGTTCTGCTTTGTAGTACCGTACACTAGCCGGTGTTTAGGGAGTACAGCCTCCCTCTGTCTGGTGTTTCACGTTTTGGTTGTTGCCAGGGAGCGGAATCGGTCACACTGCGTCCAGTCCACAGACAGCGACCAAGGACATCAACATTTAGGACGGTATGCCCTCGGTATGAACCGCTTTATGTACCTTCGGGCTAATCGATCCCGAAGAACGATGACAATATTGTCATTGGTGCAATGGACAAGTATTGCTGTCGGTGGGCAAACGCGCGGTAGCGTGTTTTTATCCGCGC